TTAGTTTCACCTTTTGAGTTGCCTTACTGAAATAAAGGAACATTTGCACGATATTCTAATTTTTTGAGTTTCACCTGTATATACTCTCCCTTTCCTTTGTTATCATAATATGCAGAAAGGTATTTAACAAATTAAAAAGAACTACATACTAATGAATACTGTTTTGATAAGTACAGCATGAATTCCAAAGAATTTATCATAATTCATTCATTCATTCATTCATTCATTCATTCATTCATTCATTTATTTAACATAATTATAAGACTGCCTAACTCGAAACAGCTTGGGGGGAGGGTGTATATAAGAATAAAAACAGGGAAGAAAACCAGCCAGTAAGCAAAATCTGTGGTTAAAGTTGTATTATAATACAACTTATAATATTATAAGCAGTATTATAAACTTGTATATTATAAGTCCATGAAAAGATAAAAGTTCAATAAATTTAATTCAAGTATCCCTGACAGCTGAGGTCTATAAGAATTTATTCTTTGACAGAAAACTTTCTCAAGCATTAAGTTACACCACTGAACAGTGGTATTTTATGTATAAAAGTTGCCACACCATTTTTTGTGAAGAACTATTGAACAAATCTATAAAATTTAACCCAAGTTATAACTTAAGAGAAAAGTGGTATAAACTCTTTTATAGATTTTATACAACTCTGTCAATAATTTCCAAGATAGACAAATCACATAGTAATAAATGCTGGAAATGCCATGAGATAGAAGAATGATTTTACCATATGTAGTAGACATATTAAAAAAAAAAGTACTGGAAAGAAATACACAACATTATTCAGAAAATTTTAGAAATCAAATTTGAAATGGAACCACCATTTTAGAGTTAGGCATAATGCCAAGAAATCTCAACAAAAAATATCACAATTTACTAAGATACATGTTCACAGCTGTGGGGATAAACTTAGCACACTATTGGGAAAGAGAGATGTTGTTGATTATATTAGACTGAGAACCTAAATTTAGAGAATGTCTAGTAATGGCAAAATTAACCACATATATTCATAACAGAGGTTTGACTATATTTAAGCAGGAACAACTTCCATATATATTACATATTATGCACCAAGGCAAATTGAAGCATTTAATATATGATTTTTAAGGGGAAAAAGAATTGACCAAAGAACTTAAATCAGAAATACACAAAATTTTAAATGTTTATAAACATTATATATCAATCTAAGTATAACAAAGAGAAGTTAGAAAATATTTACCTATACTGTTTTAGTACTTTTTTTTTATGGTATCATTAAATAACAAATTAATGAAGAATTTGGTACTCAGCTCAGAGATTCAAAAAAATCTTTAAAATCCTTTTCCTTTTTGTTCAAAATAATTTATTTTGTTTTTTATGGTTAATTTTTCATCAGCAGTATACTGAGAACTAACTATACAACTTTTGTAACTTCTTTGTCCAGTTATTGATCTTTCCATCAATTTGTTTCTTTCCCCTTTTTCTTTTCTTGCTTGTTCATTTTTTTTAAATGATTAATAGGAAAAAAGGAAAGTCTCTACACAATTTTTTTAAAAAATAGCATTAGGAAATTGAGATTCCAAAAGTATTAAAATTATGGATACACAATAAAAACAGTTACTATTTCCCCACCTGCTCTTACATGGTAAATTACAGTTAAAAAGAAGTTACTTTGCATAGGACAACCCAAATATATTTGTTTGTTTTGTCTTTTTACAAGCTAGGTCTTACAATTTACAAAGAAAGGAAAAAGAAATAATACTAATACAAGTAGAGGTTTAAAATAATATTTAAAAAACAGATGGTATAAATGATAAAAAGCCCAAAATAAGCAATGAAATACAAGTGGATATCCAATAAATGTAAAATATTATATTTTATATTATAATTTAACATATTCCAATACACTATTAAAAGCTTAAAATACTATAAAATATTCCATACCCAAATTCTAGTTAAAACATATTTCTACTGAACTTTGAAGTTATTTGGTTAACACAACTGAATGTCAATAACTTAAACATCTTTATAGCTGTAAGGGACTACAGAGATGACCCTTGGAGAAACTATGCAGGGGGCATTACAAACAAAATTGATGTCAGCCCTTCAAGGAAGGCCTGGTCAGGAAACAGATTCCACAGAAATCATAATGAATATTAAACAGCCTGAAAGCATTTTCCCTAGCTCCCTCTTCTACCCAAGAGAGTTAAGATGGAATCAGTTTAAGTTTCTTTCTAATATTTTCTTCTTATCCTGATCATGTTTTGAAACTTATCCTTAATCATGCTTTGAAACTTTGGATTTGTAGGTTCTCCAAGGTCATCACTATAGTTCCTTACAACAACTGAACAGGAATGTAAACCCAGACCAACGTTAACTGATACTTGTTACTTTAGGTTATATGTATTAGTTCTTGCAAACTAATTTGTTTCACTTTTGGTTTCAGTTTGAATTTCTTTTCATTTTTTTCATGAATTAATGAATTATAATTGATCATACTTTTCCTTTTAAAAATGCAAATTCTCTGCTGATCTGTTGATGTGGTGCAAGAATAGAATAGTTTGCACTATCGAGTGTCCCAATAAATATATACATTTTGTTTTAGGAATTTAACACATTCTATTCCATTCTATTTGTGGAATTAAAAAAATAGGCTTTCATGGATATATCAGTGGAACAGATTTTCTCTTCCTGTCCCTACCCTCCAGATGGTTAGAAGAACCTCTGGAACAGAAAGGAGAGTAAGGAAATTCATTTACATAAATTACATCCAACTCAATGATACATTCAACCACAGAAAAGTGGGTGAAACACCCCACTGACATGGTATTTGTCCTGAAAGAGGCTACTGTATTCATTCAATAACTGCTTCCTTCCGAAATAAAATGGTACCAACAAGCTCAATTTGAATTAGGAATTCAGTGCAAAAGAAAAAGTTACTCCACCCACCCTGTGCCACAGTCCCAATGTTGATCCCTCCTAGCTACTACTAAAAATAAATACATTAAGGACAGCAACTCTTGTAACATCACTTTAAACCTTAATCAGTGATATAATGGTGTGCTGATATCACAAAGAGCTATGCAGTTTAAAACCTATTTGGCTGTAAGATCTGACAAAAAAAAAATGTTAAAACTTCCAGCTTTTGTGCTGGGATACAAATATGAGGTCTAAAAATGTGTTACAGTTTGAGTAACAATTGGAGCAAATAAGTTTGCTTCTTATGGTTTGTAAAGTTACACACTTCAGAATGATGTCTTAATGTACATAATTATCATCATTACAAAAATCTGCTACACACTTTTTACATTCTGAAATGGCATGAGCTAGAGACTCATTAGCCATGGGCTGCTCCTAGGAAATGATTGGCAGGTAAAAGAGATCACAGGTTGAGGTGGTATATAAAGCAGAAACTTCATTCCCATGATCAGGGTTACAGTAGCCAGCACAACCATGCCTTTGCCATTCCCTCAAGTAGGAGTTTACATGGCTGGAAAGTTGATAGATGCATTGTTTTGCTTGTCATCTAAAGCAATGTTTCTCAACCTCAGCAACTTTGAGATGTATGGACTTCCCTAGCCAGCCTAGATAGATACCAACCCATTTTGTCAGATAAATAATGATAGCTTGACAGTATAAAGAATTGGCATGAAAATCACAGTAATGAAGAAGAGTACTAGCTATGGGAGATAAGCTAGTTTAAAAAGTGTGGTCTATATAGGTTATACTGTTATAAGGCACAGTCCTTGAAGGGTTTGGGTTTTTTGAGTAAATGCTCTTATGTGTTCTTGTTTCAGTACCAGGACAGCCGCTAAACTTCAAAGCTGAACCTGAATCTGAAACAAGCATATTACTTTCTTGGACCCCTCCACGGTCTGATACAATCTCCAATTATGATCTTGTTTACAAAGATGGAGAACATGGTGAAGAGGTAAATAAATTATTCTTTTTCATATTTTGCAAACATTTTGCAACTATTGCAAAATCTTCTAAGTTATACTTTCATTCTTCTAAAATTTGCACAAATTATAGTACTAGAGCAGTATTTTCTTCATCCTA